AAATCAATTGTATATTACTTTACGACTTAGTGGAAAATAAACTCATTTCTTGCACACCTCGAACTCTTGGAAATCCCCGTTCTGAATTTCCGTCATCCCGTCCTTTGGACAGAGAGAAACCTGCTGACTGAAAAAACCGGTTATCTAATAAAACACACTCTAAAATACACTTACGAATATTTCGTGTTGCTGTTGATGCTCTGTATGGTGACTCTCTCCACATCAATGGCCTGCTTGCAGTGGACGAAGCAGAAGGCGTTTGGCTTCTCCTTCCAGCCAATTTTCGCGTTGATGATCCTGGCCATTTCCGGCACCCCCGAATAGAAAACAAAACTGTTGCTTTCCCCAGCAAGGAATTCCCTAGAATATCCCCCCTCAAAAGAACCACCTGGATGGGCTTAATCTGCTCACCTGGGCTCCATCATGGAGGACGTGGTGATAAAATGGAACTTATCGATTAGGAAGAATTCAAAAGAGCCAAAGAAGGTGGACTTGGTCCCTTTGATCGACACATTCACCCTGTACTGAAACACTTAAAAAAAGTTGGAGCTATAGCTAGGGAGTAGGAGGCTTACAGCAGTAGGGCTTCGTCGAGTCGGTCTGGAGGAAATAGGAGCCATTGTTAGGCTCTGAGTAGGAGACCAATCCAAAGGTCCTGCAGTTGTGGCCACACGTTGTGCATTTGCCCTAAAGAAATTGTTTCCTATGCTTGATTGGTGCTCGATTGCAATCGGACCTGCCTGAAATCCGCATAGCTTTGGCACTTGATGCCCAAAAAAGTGCATTCCTCAATCTCCAGCGACTCAATATAGTACTTATAGGCCCTTTTATGACTGCAGCCTGGCATGACCTCGCCCTGGTTCAACATGGCTCTTGTGAGGGCTAGCAAGTCGTAACTCGTTTGGTCCACTGGACATCCTGGCTGAGCCTCCGCGTTGTTGATGAAGAAGTCTGTGTGTCCCAAGATGTCTTTAGCCCCTTGGCTGGTATCTGGAACAGCTGAATCGACTAAAACAATCAGAGAAAAGGTCTTTTTCTAACAATCCATCGCATCTGTGTGTAAAACTTCGACATATTCGGCGTCTGTGTGGTCTAGTCGTACTGGGCTGGGCATACCATCGAATCGACGACCACTTGGATCTAATCCTACAAATATGTTTTAAATTATCAACCACGGGACATACATATATACGGAGTGGCCCAAACTACTGCTTTTTTGGACAAAGGAAACAATGCAAAAATCCCCGAAAATATCGAGAAAAAACCGTTTCAATAACTTTGCTTTTGGCAACTTCTGTTCAGTTGGAGTCAGTATAAAAAATTGAAAAACCCCCTAATAAACTCGAGCGGCTAGTTTGTTTTAGGATAATACCAATTCATACAGGGTGTCTCAAATTCAAGTGAATGGTCAAAATATTGTTTATTCAAAAAGCAAAATGGAAATTTCGCTCCCATTAGAGTGGATGTAAAGGGAAACATTGAATGCTTCTAGCTAACAAACGAAAAGTCCTATTGGTGGTGCATTGGTGCATTATCGATATATTATCGATAGATTAAATAATCAAAGAAAGTGGCGAGTTTTAATGCAAATGTTAAGCGTTTCATTATTAAGAAGTAGCGTATTTTAACTGATATTTGAGCAACAGTTAATGTGAGTCTTTAAGATGAGCTGGACACGAAAGCGTTTCTTTTCTCGGGAACTAATCCGATTTTGACGATTACTTTATTAATTAGGGGTAGAACCAACACCACCAGATAGAGCAACCGAACTTGACGGGTAAAATAGACCCTTAGAGAAGTCTCTCCGACGTCCCAAAAAAACTTACTTAGAATCTGGCAAGAGCCTGTTTTACGTAACAAATAGGAATGAACAAAAAGTTGGCAATTTTTAAGCTTCGTCAAGAAAAGTTGTGGTACGATTTTGTAGAAGCAAAACTAAATTAATCAT